ATACTTGGGTGGGAATAGAAGGACTCTAAATAATAGGATGCTGATCTCTAGCTCCCTTATTCGTTTGGCTTCTGATGGAGCTTTCATGATTCTGATGATGCCTTCCAGAAATTCTAATGGCGCCATTCATGAGGGTGTAAAGGGCCCAAGCACTGGATTCAAATCTCTCTCCCACCCAAGTATGGATGGAGTTCTTAGGATTGAGCCAAGTCTCCCTACTGTCAAAGGCTGTGCTGGCAATCAGGAACTTCTGTAAGGATTTCCTCTCACCATTTCTGTTGGTTTCTTCCTTCCAGGCTTCTAGCTGGGTTGGAGGCTTCAACCCAGTTCTTATGGGTTAGGTTATATGCAAGTTAGAACTGGCAGGGTCTGTTTCTGGGGTCTCTTGACAACTACAACAGCTATCATTCAGAGTAATGTCTGAATTGTCAAACAAGTAATTCAGAGGAACAGTTGTGGTTTCAGCCCTGGTTGCACATTAGAATCAACTGGAGCACTCTAAATCAACTGATACCTGGACCCCACCCTAGATTTAAGCCAGAATCTCTGGGTTTGGGATAGGGCTTAAGTATGTTTTAAAAGCAACCCAAGTCACCCTAGCTGGTTTGGTTCAGTGGTTAGAGCGTCCCTCAGACTGAAGGGTCCTGGGTTCGATCCCAGCCAAAGGCATGTACCTTGATCCCCAACCCCAGTCGGTGCAGGAGCAGGAGGGGAAAATTAATGTGTCTCCCTCACATCGATGTTTCTCTCTCTCCCGCTCTGTCTCTCTTCCCCTTTCCACTCCCTCTGAAAAGCAATGGAAGAAATATCCGCGGGTAAGGATTAAAATAAAATAAAAGCAACCCAAGTCTACAAGACTTATTAGGGTGATCACTTGGTAAGTTACATAAATGTCTAATCACTATGTTGTACAACTGAAATTAATATTGTATTGTTTGTCAGCTGTAATTGAGGTATTTTTAAAAAATTTTTAAAGCAACCCAGGTGATCTAACAACCAGGGTTGAAACCTACTAGGTTATCCAGTTATTGGTTGAATCAATGGTAATAACCTTACACCTTCAAGATGCCTGCAAGACCCACATTATATGTATGATGAAGGTGTTATCTTTTAGGACCATGGACACATTTACTGTAAGCAGTGGATTCTCAAAGTTTAATGTGCATACAAATCACCTGTGGATCTCCTTAAAATATGCATTTTAGCAAGATTCTGCGTTTTTAACAAGTTCCCAGGTGGTGCTGATCCTACTGGACTATGGACCACACTTTGAGTAGCAAGGATCTAGACCAGCAGTCTGCAAACTGGGACAGGGTACTGCAGCTACGTTAAGCTCTCCAAGGTCTGTTCAGACCGGAATATTTTTAATTGAATCAATTTCCAGATCCCCAGCTTCCATATGAACTATTTTCTAAAACTGATCTGCCTGAGATGGAAGAATAGGTTCTTATCTCTCAATTCCCCTTTCACAAATGGCCCTTCTCTTAAGCATTTAAAGGAGGGAAGATCTTTTACCCAGCTGAATCTCTAGGGTGCTAAACAAAGGAACACATATTGATATAGATATTGAGAAAATGAATGACCCTAATAACTAAAAAATCTTTTTTGCAAGTTAAATCTTGCCTAATCCATTGTTTCTACATAATTGGATGAGTTTAGTTGATAGATCATTAAACATAATTTTGGATGATAGATCACTGGCTTTTTGTTTGTTGTTTTTTGGCATTTAACTCAAAAGAAATTAAAAACATTTAATAAAATTGCTTTAACAAAACTCTTTTCGTAACTATTTATACAAAAAAGGTTACTCAATAACATCTATAAAAATGAAAAATAGGATTAGAATCATAATGAACCCTGTCTCTTTCTAAAAATAAGTAATAGTCTTCCATGGATTTTAAACTTATTGGGGAAAGAAAAACCATCCACTTCATCACACACACACACTTATATATTTTTCTTTCTTTTTTTAATTGATAACTATAAAAAGTTATATTTTATATTTTGATCAATTGTGTGCTGATTTTATATTATAAGTCAAGCCAAAGGAAATATTCCTCACTCTTAGACTTATAATAAACATTTTCTAATATATTTTAATTTATATGCATATTTTAGTACAGAGTAGGTGATAGGGTGATCAATA